CCCAAGTGCTTGGGCCCTGCACCCACATGGGAGACCAGGAGGAAGCACCTGGCTCCTGGCTTCGGATCGGTGCAGTGCCGGCTGTAGCGGCCATTTGGGGGGTGAACCAATGGAAAAGGAAGACCTTTCTCTCTGTCTCTCTCTCTCTAACTCTGCCTGTCAAAAATAAATAAATAAATAAATAAACAAACAAACAAACTATGCCATTTTGTATAAGGAACCTGAGTGTGCATAGATTTTAGTATCTATGGCTGTCCTGGAGCCAACAACTGTGATATGAGGGAGGCTGGCTTTCTAGGACAATGGTGTTCTAACCACTGGCTCCCCTGCTCCTCTCTGAGGCCAGGCACAGATCTTTCACAACCTGAGGTACAAAGGCCTAGCTCAACACCTGTGTTCAATAAGTACTTGGGAATGACTGGAGCACCTGGCCTAGTGAGAGAGACAGGCACATACACAAATAAACAGCATTCAGTACCATAAAGGCACAAGACAGGTGCAGCAAGAATGCCAGCCATGGAAGCTGGGGGAAGGTAGGAAAACCTGCAGGAATCTGTCCACCTGCGTCTCTGGGGTTTCCTTACCTGATTCGTTCAAGCTTCTTCAGACCCTGATGTTGCTCACGAGCACCTGCTCTGAACCAAGCACCATGAAAAGCACTGAATGCAAACTAACTCGTCTGCTCCTCAACAGCCCCTCTCTGCACGGCACCAATGGGGCAAGGCAGGCTCCAGAGGGCATTGGCTCAGTGTCTCACTGCCCTGGCTCTGTTAGTGGCTGAGTCAGGGTTTGAACCCAGATCTTGTCTTCCCAATCCAGGCTCCAACCAGCATTCTATGCTTCTGGCCTCCCCAAGTACTGGGTTTGCTAACTTCTACTAAAGCCAATTAAGCAAGCCTGAAAGGGTAAGGTAAGATTTTTCTATTTTAGTCACTCAAATGAAAATGCACCTCAAATTATTACATACTTCCTGACTTTTCAGACTGAATACCCTGACTGTACCTGTTTTTCTTTGTATTTTTGACAGGCAGAGTGGACAGTGAGAGAGAGAGACAGAGAGAAAGGTCTTCCTTTGCCGTTGGTCACCCTCCAATGGCCGCCGCGGCCGGCGCGCTGCGGCCGGCGCACCGCGCTGATCTGATGGCAGGAGCCAGGAGCCAGGTGCTTTTCCTGGTCTCCCATGGGGTGCAGGGCCCAAGCACCTGGGCCATCCTCCACTGCACTCCCTGGCCACAGCAGAGGGCTGGCCTGGAAGAGGGGCAACCGGGACAGAATCCGGCGCCCCGACCGGGACTAGAACCCGGTGTGCCGGCGCCGCTAGGCGGAGGATTAGCCTATTGAGCCGCGGCGCCGGCCACCTTTTTTTTTTTTTAACACCTCAGCACCACCTCCATTACTAAGGGTGCTATAAAGTAGTGATGCCCTCGGGGATGACTGTGTTATAACTGAGATACAACAGATTGCCCCTGCATCAACAGCCTTGGCTGTTAGCTCACCAGTGCTTTGCATGGTACCTGGCTCCAAGCAGCACTCATGAGAGCTGTGATTCTGATCTGCACTTCCCAGGACCCGTCACAACCACTTCCTGCTGCTGCGGGGAAGCCTGTCTCCACAGCCCACCTGACCTGGTGCCTCTCATCTTCCACGGATGCAAGGCCCATAGGAGATGTAGCAGGCTTTTAGTGCAGCTCATCAGGTACTTCTGGCTCTCTGCTTCCCAGGCATGTGCAATCCTCTATCCTTCTTTAAAGTTAGGCATGGCCGTGGGACTTGCTTAGGCCAATGCAACGTGAATGAAAGAGACATGGGCCACACTGAGACAGAAACTTAAAAAGCCAGAGTCGAGGCCAGCGCTGTGGTGCAGCGGGTTGGAGTCCAGGTCTAAAGCGCCAGCATCCCATGTGGGTGCTGGTTCTAGTCTCAGCTGCTCCTCTTCCGATCCAAGATGGCCCAAGTCCTTGGGCCCCTGCACCCATGTGGGAGACCCGGTGGAAGCTCCTGGCTCCTAATTGGTGCAGCTCCAGCCATTGTGGCTATCTGGGGAGTGAACCAGTGGATGGAAGACCTCTCTCTCTCGCTCTCCCTCTCTCTATAACTCTGTCTTTCAAATAAATGAAAGAAATCTTCAAAAAAAAAAAAAAAAAAGCCAGTGACCACTTGACCACCACTTCTTCATCTACCTGGGGCCCTGAGTGGCCACGAGGAGCAGAGCTCCACGTGTGCTCACACTGGGCTGGCAGCATGAGAGAGGAGTCAACTCTCATTCTGCTGAAGCCACTGGAGTCTGGAGCTTTAGGTTAATACAGCCTAAGCCAAGCCACTCAGACCATTTACTTCCCGTCTCTCAATAGCGGATGCTCTCACATGAGTAACTTCATTCACAGATTTTATAATGCACATTTTGATTGCACAAAGGATCGTCTTTGCACTCCTCCTAAATCAAAGCTCTTTAATATAAAAATGTATCTGTCGGCCGGCGCCGTGGCTCAATAGGCTAATCCTCCACCTAGCGGTGCCGGCACACCAGGTTCTAGTCCCTGTCGGAGCACCGGATTCTGTCCCGGTTGCCCCTCTTCCAGGCCAGCTCTCTGCTGTGGCCAGGGAGTGCAGTGGAGGATGGCCCAAGTGCTTGGGCCCTGAACCCCATGAGAGACCAGGAGAAGCACCTGGCTCCTGCCTTCGGATCAGCACGGTGTGCCGGCCGCAGCGCACCAACCATGGCGGCCATTGGAGGGTGAACCAACGGCAAAAGGAAGACCTTTCTCTCTGTCTCTCTCTCTCACTATCCACTCTGCCTGTCCAAAAAAAAAAAAAAGTATCTGTCAAGTACCTCCCCTGTAAAAACACTGTACCAGATGATGAACCCAACAACTCATGTTTTGCAAAAGCATCAGTCTTCCGTTGCGAGTACACAAAGGATTAAGGCAATTATGGCAAAAGGCCAGGCCCTGGTGGTAAGGTGGCAGAAGAGACAGCTCTTCCCCCTGGGAGGAAAGGAAAGACAAACTCTACAATGCAAGTTCCCCATCATAAGCACAACAATCAGAGGGCCAAGGGCGTCATTTAAGATAGGCAAGACCAACAAGAACATGGAACACAAAGCGTGAAGATTTCCACTGATCAAGAAAAGACAAAAAATTCTAAGGGAGTGGCAAGAAATGAATTGTCCATGCCAGGCTGGTCTGCACCTAACTCCACACGGGATCGCGGTGGGGAGAGTAGAGGCTGAGGGTCTTGGCCAGAAGTGACAGCACTTCACATGGAAAGATGGGAGACAAGAACAAAATGTTAGGGGGTTTCTGGAGCACTGCATGGGCATGGGGAAATGCACGTGAACAGTATCAAGGCTCCTCAAAGTGGTGTAATGACAGCAGGGGTGCAAAGCAGCAGATGCCAGAAATGGGGTGGCAGGAACCTCAGCAAGACCTGGCAACCAGCTGGACGTGGAGAGAAAAGAATGAACTTGAGACGCAGAACCTGTGTAGCTGAAGGAATTGTTACCCCAGACAGCTGCAGCTCATCAGAAAAGTGACAACGACAGCCCCAGTGCTGCTGCTGTCCCTTCTGAGGGTCAGCTCGAGCTTCACCTGAAGGAAGGAGCACTCCCGCGCGTCACCCCCTGCTCCACCTGCCACAACGGCGCTTCTCGGAAGGACGCCATCAACCTACCTTTTGTACTGGATGCCTCCGAGTTCCCCTCAGCCAATGCCTCGCACAAAACATGTACGCAGCACACACCTGACCGATCCAGAGTGAATCGGTCTCTAAGAACATGCACGTCTCGGTTCACCTTTAGTAATTTACTTTTATTAAACCACAGTTAAGACACTTAGACATGTGAAATGGATTCACCACTTTAATACCTCAAATATCCTTAAGAACCCCTGAGCTTAACAGCTGTTGTTGCCTTAAGAGATTATTTGAGAATACTATTTAGTCATAAATCCGTGTGCCAGCTTCCTTTTAATCCTCCAGACCAGGGGTGGGGAACGTCCAGCCCACTGGCTGTATGAGGCCCAAGAAATCATTTGGCCTGGGTGCCAAGGCAACCTCAAAATTCAGTAAATCTACAGCAAGCTAACTTTTAGGCAGACGATTTTCAACATCCCCTGAACGATCCAGATGGCCCCTGGCCTGACTCCCACCTTGAGGAGCCACCAGACAGGGCAGGGACCTGAGCTAAGAAATAACCCCACTTGTCCTGAGAGACTTCTTACTTTCAGCCATCTCATAAGTCCTGGGTTTGTTTTGGTTTGTTCCTACGTTCACCATCTACATATAACACAGACAATTCAAAGACCCACGGGGAAGTTTGTATGGTGTCCTTTCCAGGACACCATTCCTTCTTCAACTAATTAGGACAACGCGTTCTCACGTTTCATTCCTTCCTTGTTATGTAAGAGAAACACAAACAAAAGTGAGGTTTACTGAGGAAGCAGTGACAGCGGGCGCTGTCGTTAAGGAACCCCACGCGCTCACGGGACGCCCTCCTAACCAAACGCGCGCTCCTCGCTAAGCCGCCGTCTCCAGCAAGGCGGGACACAATAGGGGAGAAAGTGCCAGAAGGGCAGACTCAGGAGGGTACTCTGCCAAGCAAATGTGACCCCGGTGCCCCCGAAGATCCGAACGCGCGCAGGCCAGTAGGCGCCGACTCCCGCTCGGGCTCTCTGCCTGCAGTTTTCCCTCCTCTTCCCACCGCGGGCCCGAACCACCGCGTCCTTCCACAGAGCTGCGGGGTCTCGCGCGCAGGTGACCTCCGAGCGCTCGACCAGCGAGCAGAGCAAGTCGGCCTTCCTCTGCCCTGGCCTGCATGGAGCCCCCTCCCAGGCGAGGTCGTGCAGGACCCCAGCCCGGGGAACCCGGGAGCCGCGCCCCGACCTCTGCTTCCCCAGCACAGTCGCGCGCTCCGCGCTCCACCCGGGGCCGCGGCCGAGGAGGGGGCGGCGCTGGACCGTTAGCCGCGGCCGTCGCGCCCCGAAGCGCGTGGGGCAGGATCTTACCGCAGCGGAGAGAGAAGCAGGGGGGAGGCGGTGCCCGGCCCCACGCGAGGCAGGAAGGCGCAGGCGGCGGCGCAGGCTGCGGCGGCAGCCGCGGGGTACCCCGGCGGGCGCCCACGACGCGGTGGGCTGCATGGGCGCCGCCATAGTGGGGACGCAGCGGCGGGCGGGGCGCACGGCCGCGACCCGGGGACGGCGGGACCACCAATCCCGCTCTCCGCCTCGGCGCCCTTGCCGGGGGTCGGGCCTACACCGCCAATGAGCTCGCGGGAGCCGGGCGGGGCGCTGTGCGGACCAATGCGGAGCTGCGCTGAGCAAGTGGGCGGGCACAGGCCGGGGCCGCCCAATAGACGCGGAACTCAGAGTTTTCAGGCCCGCCCACCGCGGGTGCCGGGCAGCGCAGGATGCGCCGGCCAGGGGTTGCTGAGCTGGAGCGCACACGCCCTCGCCACGTCCTCTCTGGCATCCTGCTGCCCTGAGGAGCCCTCCTCCCCGCCTTAACCGACCAGAGGACGGTTCCTTGGCCGAGCGGGAGTGCCAAGTGAGGGCACGCCCGTGTAGTCCTCCGTGCCATGAACCCCCGCTAGTGCTCTCGTAGCCCGAGGCCTTGGACCCCCGCGGGCCCCTCCAGCTCCGTGGTACAGGGCCTCGTAGGAAACGTCTAGTTCGGCAACCCGCCTTAACCCACCTATGTACTGCAGGGGTCCCGTGCTCTCCCAACCCCACTCCATTCTATCAGGGAGGTCGTACCCGGTATGCCCTCGGGAACAATGTAAAATCTCATTTCTCCGCAGTACGGGGGAATTTGGACGACAATCCTTGGACGCCAATCCAAAGATCCTCCTTTACCCAGGGAAGGCGGGTGGCTGTGGCAAAAGGCTTCTTAGAGGGGCCTAAAATAGGCGGTGGCCGGAGGGCAGCGGGGGAGCATGAGGCCAGTTCTGTGAGCTGGGAAAGTCCGGGGTTATTCCTGTTGACAAGTGTTGAGACGTGCAAGGTTTCTAGGAAGAATGGCTGACTGTTGAGTGAGAACTCTTGGGATTACACCAGGCACCCAGCCCCAAAGGGCTCTGGGCAAGGATGGGGACAGGGGGCTCAATGAGGGGGGAGTTGAGCTCTGGGACACCATGGAGAAAGGTGGGAAGTGTCCCTCTGGCAAACTTAAGTGACCACAGTGCCCACTCACTGATCCAGTAAGGCCTGGCGCTGCCCAGCTCCCCTGGGAATTCTTCGTTCACATGGAAAAGTGCCCAACACCTGCTGCTCCTCCCTTCCCCCACACTGAGATACCAAATAAGCCACTTGGCAAGCCCAGGGACACAAAGCAGGGTTGGGAGGAACTGAGCTGCCCCTAGCCTCTCCTTCACCTGGACAGGCCAAGCAAGCCACAGGAGTGCCCCCTTCCTACCCTATGACCCCTACTGCTGTCCACTTTGGCCTGAGGGACCCACCAGGCCAAGGGAACTTGGTATTCCTCCAGGTACTGTCTCGCCAAACAGGCAGCTCAGGGAATGGCCTCAGGGACTCCCGCTTTGGGCACTTCCCTTTCAGACCAGCCCCGCCCATTGAAAATGTATCAGATGGGACACAAGGGCAGGCAGTGGAGCTAGGCCTTTCCCATTTCCTCCTCCAAGGCAGAGGGAGCACAAAGACGTCCCTGCCCCCCCTGTCCCACTGTGCTTGTCCTAATAGATGGAAGCTGACAAGGAAGCAGCCATCTCTGGACAGCTTTGCAGGTCTTGCTTTACTGGTTCCCCTTCAAACACACGCCCTGCTTCCAGGGCCCTGTGACTCCAGGTCCGCCTGAGCCTGACCCTGGGCCTCTTGGGCTCCGTGGGGCAGACAAAGCCGATCCTCTGCTCAACATATTTTATTGCTAAGGACAAGGTGATGCACCGGTTTTCAAAATAATTTGGTTTATAGCGTTCATACGTAACAAAAAAGGGGAAGTATTATAAATCTGATTCTTGTATACATAGGGTATAGGTGTAAAGCCCTCCAATCCTGGGCCCAGGCAAACAAATGCATGAGGAGCAAAATCCTGTTTAACCCCTTCGTTGTTGCCCTCTAGTCCCACCCCCCGCCCCAAATCAGCTCCCTCCCACCCCCAGACCAAGAGCACATCCACACTTGCCCCTGGCCTCCAGCAACCCCAATTCATCCTAACCACCCCCCAGCCCCTGCATGATTGCAATTCTGTTGAATCACTCACCAGGCTCTGCCTGCTTCAATCATTAAAAATTCCCCTTCAGGGTATCCCCCGTTGACACCCTCTAACACTGTGCCACGCGGCCTCCTTGCCTAGAATGCGGAGGACGAGTCCCCCATTAGCCCTATGCGCTCCTTCAAGGGAGGACAAGAGGTGGCAGTGACTCCTTAGCATCTCAATACTGCAGCTTTGCCAGCACTCTAGACATGTTCCAGGCCTGGACAGATGCCACACCCACCTCCGGCCAACCCCAGGGGCCCTTACTCAGCTCAGCTGAGGGCAGAATTTCACATTTTGTTTGCCCTGCATAGGCAAGGAGGAAAGTAAAGGCCAGGGGCTGGCAGAAGCTGGTCCAGACCAAACACACATACCCACGCACGCAGGCGCACGCACGCACACACATAAATACAAAAAGGGGGTAGGGACAAGTACCAGCACCTCTGACTAGTTGGTGCAGGTGCTCATTAGGAAGCTAAGTCCCAGGCCAGGAACAGGGCAACCAGCCCAGCCAGCACAGGCGACCCCTTTTATGGACTGGGGCCAGTGCAGCCACAGCATTCCAGTGCTCAGCCCCTCAGCTGGGAGACCAGAGGCTGCTGCCACATGTCCAGAGATGGCTGGTCCTTTCACTACATGGAATTCGAGGAGGGTGGGGGGAGGTGAAGGGATCAGCTAGTTCATTCCTTCTTCTTTTTACAACTTCACTCGCAGAGCCTTCTTCCGAGTCCCAAGTGTCTGCTGTGCTGTGGACCCCCGAGTGCGCTTGCCTCCGTGGCTGGGATCCTCTTGGACCCTTGGAAGCACCTACTCCATGATGGCTCGGTATAGCGCAGGCTCGATATAATCTTCCCGGTATCTGGAGTTGATAACCCGTTGCCGCTTCTTTTCTTGCTTTACCTCTTTTTCTGTGAAAATCTCGTTGAATCGCATATCTGAGGCTACTGACTACAGAAAAACAGGCAAGCCAAATAATCACTTTGTGGTCAACCACCCCGAGTGAAAACAGGGACACGTCCTCGTCTTGCTCCCTCCCGCCCGGGCAGGAACTAAGGGCTCAGAGAACACACACTCACCAGCCTGGACTTGACTCTCTTGGGAAGCTCTTCATCCAGCGTGTACACATCATCTCTCTTAACCACGAGCTGTGAGCCATCCTCAAACTCCACCTGCCAAGGAAACAAAGGTCTCTTGCTGGAATACCCCTGACTTTCTCCCTGGTCCACCAAGTGCAGTGGCAGTATCTTGAAGCCCAAAATAGGATTAGAATGCTGAAGGCCTGGCATGTCTGAAGCCTTACCTGGCGGCCTGGACACAGGCAAACCTTAGTTCTGGAAGGGCTGTTACCAACCCATTCATTCTCCCAAGAACAAAGACTTGCCTGTGCTCCAAGAAGAAGCACCAAATTCATCAAGCATACCCAACTCCCTTGCAAGAACACTGGCTACCTGATACATCTGGATGGGGTGAGAGGCCACAAACTTGGCTCCGTAGACTTGGCCATCTGTCCATCTCACTTGGACCACTTCCCCTTCAGCAGGAGGACCCAGCTGGAGACAGTCCTGGCTCTGAGGAAACAGGGAGGAAGGAATGAATGGCAGGTTCCCCTGAGCACAATGGAAACTTCCATCTACTCAGGGAATAAACCAGGACAAAGTCGTGCCCAGACCCCACACGGAAGGCAGCACGCTACAGGCTGACAGATGCAGTGGTTAAGATCTGCCTGCTGTATCAAAAGTCTGCCCCATATCCTGCTCTCCAAGGAAACAAAAACGAGCAGCTATGGTAAACTAAGACAGAATCACATCCCCTTGAAGGGCTGCTATGAAGGAATGCTGCAACTGTACTCAACGATGTTTGAAGAAATGTGTTCTTAAAATACAGGAAAGAAAAGAAAGGAGCATCTGCCACAGGACTTGGCGAATTACTTTCATGGAGTTTTACTCCTTCCAGAAGGGGTCCCTTGGGATGAATCCTCCCGGCATTCCCACCACAGGCTGCAGGGCGTGCGAGGTCACTGCTGGTGCATGTCTGGTGGGTAGACTAGGAGAAGGCCCTTAGGGACATGGCCCTAAAGCACACAGCACAGAGGGTAGGGCCAGGGAGTCTGAAAGGAGACGGCGTTCATAGCTGACAAGAGGGAGCACAGGCTCTGGGTCCGTCCTGTCCTGCTGGGTCATTTATTGAGTAGAAACATTTCTACAGTAAATTTCCAGTTTACTTATTGGCTAGCTAATCGTTTATTTTGAAAGAATCTCACAATGAAGCAGAAACTTCAGCCATCTCCTCCCTCCAGTCTAAGACGGAAGCTTTAAATGAACGCGCTCTTTGAGAAAGCACTTCCACTCTGCAATTCAGCTTCACCTCCTTTCACAGCAGTATCCCAGCATGCTTTGCAACCTGTGAGGCCTTTCTGGGCAGCATGTGAGGCCATGACTATTTTCCTAATGATGAGAACATTAGCCTTTGTCAGTGTGTTGACACTTGCAGTGATTGTGTAAAATCTATGCTGGGTACAACTGCTGGCACTGGAGCACACTCCGAGACAATGGCCCTCAGCTCTGCTGTTACTGCATTCGTCATCACTGAGCATTCATAATTGGGGGGGGGGGGATAGGAAGAAAGCCGTTCCACAGAACAATGCCCCTGCTGAAGCAATACAAATTACTGGGGCCAGTGTTGTGGCACAGTGGGTTAAACTACCATTTGCAACACCAGCATCCCGTATCGTAGTGCCAGTCTGAGTCCTGACCACTCTGCTTCTGATCCAGCCCCAGGATGCACCTGGGAAAACAACAGAAAATGGCCCAAGTACTTGAGCCCCTGCTATCCAAGTAGGAGACCCAGATGGAGTTCCTGACACCTGGATTTAGCCGGCTCAGACCTGGCTGTGAAAGGCATTTGGAGAGTAAAATGACAAATGAAAGATATCTCTCTCTTTCTCTCCATCACTCTTTTTAAGACA